CCCGAAATAATTTTAAAACTCGGCAACTTACCCACCAGAAAATTATGGCTTGAGGGCTCGTAGTATATGCGTTTTTAGTTGTATGTGCTAAAACCATCTTATTTTGCCGTCGTGTCCCTAATATTTATCTCTCAGATTTAGAATCCAAGCTGGCATCATAGCCTCAGATAAAAACTACAAGGCGTGGATTTGATGTTCCAACGGTTTATGAAGCTAGTCTTAGTCAAATGATTACCGGTCTTTGACTCAATCCATCCTGTTTCTTTTAATATCCATTTTTTTCTTGGATTCTTTTTGCCTGTTTTACCTGGTGGCATTGGTCGGTTGTCGCGTGCTGCTGTTCTTCTAATACAGTAGTAGAAGGTTAAAATTTTAATCAAACTTTTATTGAGAGCTGATTAAAAGATGCTTAAATGCGAGCAGTGATGCAGTGTACCAGAGATGCTGCAAAACTTTTCTACTTTAAGCACTGCAGCAATGACCAGTATCAAATGTTTAGAGTTACTTCCTTGCCGTAATGGGGCTACTTCTCAAACTTTTTAAACGAAACGAACAGAACTAAAGGTGGATCAGGGCAGGGGGGATGGAGGGAGAGGGGAGAGGCCGGAGGGGAGGAAGGGGGCGGGGGGTTTGGTAGCGAAGGGTACCGGGGCTGCAAAAGCCCAGGTTTGTTCATAAATAAAAGTAAAGTAACTCCAAGTAGCACTGTTACAACTCTCTTCCTAGTTTTTGCATGGCTTTCCCACCCTATCCCACTCCTTCCCAGGAATCCGTCCTGAATCCGTTTAGGTACAGAACATCTGCTTATAAGTTTATGAGAAATCTGTTGTTCTGCGGGTGCTTATTAAATGTTCCCGATGGTTGTCATCCTCATGGCATGCGCAGGGTGCTTTACGAATGCAAGCAACTGGTGCAGCATTGAAGGGCTTGTTGCAGCTACCATCGGTATTTGGTAGTATTTTAGTGTTTTTTATACTGGCTGATTCTAGATACTTTGCTTCTTAGGCGCTGGAATCATTATCTTAGAAAATTCTGCTGCTGCCTGGCTTTTGCAGGACTGTTGCTGGGAGTTTTTACCTGAAAGTTCCCGAAATCTTATAGTGCACCGGTAAATGCTGAAGTTTGTTTTTGCTATCCTGTAGTGCCCGCTTAGGGTGATACTTTGTTGAGGTGTTTGAATACCCTAAAGTCGCTTCTATTTTGTTTGCCTGTCTATGTGTGGTGTATATGTGTGTATGTGTGTGTGCGTGTGTGTATGTGTGTGTATGTGTGTGTGTATGTGTGTGTGTGTGTATATCTACTGTTTTACTTATTAATTGGTCCCTGATAATTTTACTGGGGATGTCAAATCTTTTTGATGGCGTTTGATATTATTCAATACTTTCATAATTTCGCTCATCCGAGATCACTGTTGTTGCAGTTGCAAGACAAAGCGAACGTAGTACGGGCAATAGATTATGAGAATGTGACATCATTCGAAGAGCCATACGTTAGTTATATAGAAGATTTATGGAACGATTCCGGTATCCAGGAGTGCTACGATCGACGAAGGGAGTACCAGTTGACCGATTCTGCCAAATAGTACGTTATTTTCCCACACTTCAGCTGTGTATATCTTTCAGCAGTTCTATAGATAGGCATTAAATGGCTTTTAAAACAAAATTCAGCCAAATGTTTGGCGCGCGATTGAAAAGAAATAGATAGCGGCCGCATCAGGATAGCTGATATGAACATGCGTTTTGTGCAACTCTGTCCAGCGATCGCTTATGCAACACTACCTGCCTGAAGCTTGTGCAACTTTGTCCTTGAGAACATTGCTACCAAAACTGTTCACTGCATTACTATTATGTGCAGAATTCTCTATGGTTCCCGAGTTATTAATTTTGACGCCAAAACTTTCACGGGTTCATATACGGCCTTGGCATGTGCCGGGATTGAATGTGTAAGAAGCATCCTCTTAAAATTTCAGCTTCCTGGCTTTTGTACTGCCCGAGTTATTAATTTAGGCACTGGATCTTCCGCGCGACCGCATGTGTGATCTAGGCGTGCGTGGGCACTGAATTTGAGTTTGCGATATCACACACTGGCAGAGATCCCCTTCCCGTTAAAATTTCAACTTCCTGGCTTTTTTGGTTCAGTATTTGAAAATCTTGAGTAACACGCACACGGAGTCTTGACAGTGTGCATGTTTTGCAACTGTTACGATATAAAACACGTAAAAAACGAGCAACGTAGATTTGTGAGATGATAGAGTGTTACGCCACATGCATAGTACTCATGTAGAACGTTTGTTCCTTGCTTTTCTGTTAACAACTTGTAAATTCTGTCTCGCGTGCTATTTCTTTCTTTGCCTTAGCAGATTTTGTCTTAAATAGGTTTCCTCCCAAATCAAGTCAAAATAAGTTTATAATTTTCATACGAAGCAGTAAAAATTGAATTGGCGTTGATGAAAGGTACTGCTTGCCAATAGCAGTACCGATGCATCGAACTGGATTGATATTTCAGCGTACTGGGCAGTTCCCGTATGCAAATTGCCGAAACTGAGTTGTCAAGCCCCTATAAAGCATATTTTTTACGATTTGATTTTTGTGGTTTCGGTTTAATTTTTTAGATTGATAATTCTTGATCGTAAATGAATACTTCAGTTTGAGGCCAAAGTTTCTGTATGATAAACTGGCATTCAATATTTTCAGCTATCTCTCCGATTTGAGGAGGCTAGCAGCACCCGATTACTTGCCTACAGAGCAGGACATTCTTCGTGTTCGTGTTCCCACTACCGGTATCATCGAATATCCCTTCGATTTGGAGCAAATCATTTTCAGGTAATTAATTCTCCTTGCTGGCTTAGCTTATTGGGAAATGATACATTTGTAGGCCAGCAGCTTTCGACTTTCCCATTTGATGTGATTATTTCTGTGCATGAAATCAAGCGTGCTGTTG